GAACCAGTTTAGTGATAACCCCAGAATACCCATAGTATTCAAGCTTATCCAGTAAAATTGTATGATTTACTGTATCAAAAGCTTTTGAAAGATCCAAAAATATCCCAACAGCATATTCCCTACTATCAATTGAAGTCGATATTTTGTCATAAATATTGATCAGAACTAAAGATGTCGAGTGCTGCTTTCCGAATCCATACTGGCTGTCACAGAGAATTCTATTTTTATCAATACAGTTAATTAAACGGTTGTAAATAATTCGTTCAAGAAATTTTGAAAAACTCGAAAGAATAGACACTGGTCTATAATTTGTAAATGTACCGTAGTTGCCGGATTTAAACAAAGGAATAACATGGGCAATTTTCATTGCATCTGGTACTATGCCATGATTTATAGACAAGTTCATAATATGAGCTATAGGTATAGATATTAGATTAATAGATTGCTTTTTGACAGACATTGGAATTCTATCATAACCAGCAACTTTACTAGCGTCAAATGTTTTTGCGATTTGAACAATTTCGCCAACTGGATTTAGAATAATTGAGTTAGGAAAGGAACCATGAAGAAAATCCTTATGCGAAACGGAGGAGCATTGTATTTGTTTAGCTTGATTAAGCCCAATATTAGTAAAATACTCACAAAATCTATTAGCAGAGGATGTATTAGTGGGATCAGATATTTCTAGGCCATCAGCTTTGAACACTGACGTTTGCATAACATTAGTTTTTTCTTGCCTATTATTTCATTTATAATTTTCCATGTAGCCTTTATTATTCGATTTACAAATGCTAGTCTCCTTTCATAATACAATCTCTTGGATTCTTTTTATACAATGATTCAATTTATTCTTATACGTTTTATACAATGTTTCTGATTGAGGTGTAGGATTCTTTAAGAACTTTTTATACAATAGATGTTAAAATACCCTGTGAAAGCCACATCTTACTCAAACTGTGTCTCTTTTTTAACTTTTTCAACAGAAAACAACTGTTATAAACTTCATTAAATTTATTCAAAAATATTTTATAAGCATTTTCGGGATCATTAATTCCTTCTAATTCAAACAATTAACATTCATTTATTCAGCTGTGAAACTATTTACATTGTCGCGGCTTCTATCACGTAAAAGTATACTTTCATTACCATCACAAATGAATTCATAAAACAGATTAAAAAGATGATCGGATATAGCTGTAACCAATAAACCATTAATGGAGTCAAATGTTTAGTGAATATATTGTCAATCAGTGTAGCTGTTTGAGCTGTTATTCTTGTAGGGCTGGTTATCATAGGAATGAAAGCATTAGAATATAAATTATTTAAAAACTTACCTGTAATAGTGTCATTTTGATAACTTATCCCAGAGCCGACGGCATGAAACGCCATGTGAGGGTACTAATTCCCCCTGCTATTTACACCCGGGGAAGCGAAAGCATTAGTGAATTCTAAAGTTCATCAAATATTGCGGATGTGACCAACGAACTTGAGTGGGTGGTTATCCTCACTGATCTCAAAAATATGGCTGATTGCTTGTGGGAGTGGGATAAGCAAGATTTCAATGTTAAAAGACATATATTTGGAAAATCGTTTCATATACAAGCTTGAAGCAATTTTGTTTGAAGAAATGAGAAGAATTTGTTTTGTGTGTAAAACAGTTTATCGGCAATTGTAGTTTAGTTGAATGAACATTTCAAAAATTTCACGAAGCGTTTCAAGTTAAATTTTACATTAAATCAAAGCTCACAAAATAATATACCTACAGTGTATATTTCGGAAATTTATTGTTGTATAGTTAAAAGTACGAATCTTTCAACTATTTTGCAGTTTTGTACAAAAATATGAAGATATGGGTTACTGCATGCATGTATTTCTAGTTAAATTAAGATTAAAATCTCCTGCTAGATAACAAATTTTATTTTCACTAGAAATTTTCCCTAACATGTTATCAAATTTTTGAACAAAAAGATTGACATTACCTGGTGGCCTATACAAAACACCAACAATTATATTTTTTGCCCTTTGGATTGCAAATTTCAACAAATAATGATTCAGCAATGTTGCTACTCTCCAGACATAAATAAATCAAACCTGTTCTTAAATTGTTGCTGTTTTGATAAGTACAAACCAATTCCACCCCCATAACTACTTGTATGATGTTTATGAACAAAATTATAATTTTCAATGTCAACTAGATGCTTCGTGTGATGAAGCCAGGTTTCTGTTATAGCAATAACTGAAAATTACGAACTCAAACACGACAATAGCTCAGTTAATCTATCCAAGTTAGCTTGAAGACTTCTAATATTTAAATGAAGTAATGAAAAATAATCTCTATTTGTTTATCCTACTTTTTATCATCTCATTAAATTGCTCTTCAATTAAGTAACCACAGATATTAGAACCTGCATTAACTCTTTCCTGTCACGACCCTATAAACGCAATACACTGCTGTAATACGACTTTGCAGATTCATATCTTTGGTTCGGTGCATGCTATGTAGATGAAAATGCCACCATTCGATTCAGCAAGTCGAAATCTCCTAGTTCCTAATGATAGATTTAGTCGATGTCAACATTATCACAATTTATGGCCTTTGGAAGTCAAGCGAGATTGTATATTATCAAATTACGCAATTGTCTGAACAACAATGTAGACTGGCCGTACCTTTCGCCGAACATAACTTCGGCCGCTTCGGCCGTATCTTCTTTGTAATAGTCTTGTTCAAATCGCTGTCAAAAACACTATTTAGAGTGTTATTTTCGAGATTGTATCATCAAATTTGAATCTTTTATTACCATATTTCCATTTCTGGTCTGACTAGTGAGATAATCCCAACCGGAAGTACGACTTAAAAATGTCAAAACAATGCTATGCTTGCATCGCGTGACTCTGGAAATGCCAGAAATGGATTCTACAGGTCAAAGTGCACCTATACGTGTGAGTTTGACGTCATCCCGGCTAAAGCGAGCTCCTTATTGGCCAAATATTACGTAATACAAGCGCGTGCGAGTAAAACCCGATACCTTGAAAAATTCAAAATAAATATTTCTACTCGCCGTATTCATACGAAACTTTATACATGAAAGCGCCTGAATAAAAAGAGTATTTTACACATATAGCCTTCCAAAAAATGACGAAAAGTTTAGAAGATATTCAAGTTTTACTGTTTTTTTCTCGTTTGAATTTTTGGCGAAGCGGTGAGTATAAATATATGATTGTTTCGGTTTGTGTCAGGGGCGGATTTAGACCGTTGCAACTGTAGCATATGCTACGGTCAGATTTTCCATAGGCCAGTTCTAACATGGATCATAAAATCAATCTAAAATATAATTTAGCAATATTTTGTTTACTTTCCTTGTTTATATTTCGAGGTTTTATTTTATTTAGTTTTATATGTTCTAAAACATTTTATTTTGACAAATTGATGACATTTATAATACGTATAACGTTAATTGTTTTAAGAATTCCCGCCCGAAAATACGGTTGTAATTGCCCGTTTGCGGGTCATTACGCAATGGACTATAGCTTAGAAAATATCATCCTTCAGAAATACACCGCGGCGTGTTGCCCATATATGATCAATTTTCGCTACGGTCAGATTCATTAAGGTCGAATCTGACCGTAGCGAAAATTGACATATACGGCATTCTGATTGGTTTGCTACGGTCAAACGTAGCAAACCAATCGGAATGGTGCAAATGCTATAGTTTGCTACGGTGGCATGAAATTGGCTACTGCTCCAGAACGATGGAATATCTGATATTTGTGTTTGGCTCATCAACAACATGCTATTGGGAACCCACAGTACGGTTGTGCGCATTTCGAAATGAAAGCCGTCGTAAAGCTAAAGGATTTATATGCGTCGAGGTAGAAATAAAATCAGATAGTAAAACGAATCATTTCCAGTCAGGTAAGCCTTATGAATGATAAGAGATGCACATTATATTTTAATTTGAGTTTTACTGTATAGTGTTCGCTATTAACTTCGCTTTATTAAAGTGTTTGTGCGCGTATGTACAGTATACCTGCATGTATTGGAATTAATACGTATACGCGAATTATGATACGCGCGTATATATATCGTGTTTTATAGCGCGCTAATATTTGTTTGTAATGCGTATATATTCGTAAGATACGCGTATTCATATCATACGCGCGTTCATATGATATGCGTATTCGTATGATCACGGTTAAACCGTGGTATGATACACGCGTTCGTAGATGATACGCGCATTTCGGTATTCAATTGATAATGATATGCGTATGATACGAGTATCATACCGATATCGTATGTTAAAATATACGCGAGCAATAGTTTACATTTTGAGATCATTTCGGCTTATTTTTGCTTGAGAAATGAATACAATGAGGACAAATTTAATGGTCACATGCAGTGCTGAGAACGCAGGAAATGGCATTTCCGGGCTTCAAATTTCAAAAATTTTCCCCGGACCCCCTATCTATGCGAGGTCTTGGAAAATGCTACGGTCAGATTTTTGGCTGGATCCGCCCCTGCCGCCCCTCCCCGGTTGGGGGGGGGGCGGGGGTTTACATTGACTGGTGCATTAGTCAAACCAACATTAGTACATGCCTCATATAATATGCCTCTTAACTGCCCCACCCACCCCCTGAGGGCATGAATACTGGACTTGGTGATTTCAGTGGCCAAATGCTAGGCAGTGTCATTTCTAAATTGGAAACCCTGGTATTGTTTTGGCCTAAGTCTATGTTTTGTAATTATTATGTACATATATAGGTCTGACAATATGTGGTGTGAACTGTTTGATGACAGCAGAATGGAAATCTCAAAGCAAAGTAATAGCACGTACTGGGCAAGGTGATGGTAAAGGCGAGGTGATTTTGAAAACCAAAACTGGAGGCATTGGAACATGTACAGTTTATTTTAATGCAATACCATTTAATCCAGGTACACTACATTTTTTATATTTATCATCTGTTTGATAGTAATTTAATGCTACCATAGTTCATTAACTTATTAAGTTGCATTGTGCCCTAAAGTGCCGTACTTTATTATTTTACTTTGTCTAATGCCAGATTGTTTTACCCTCTCTGGTAACAGCCCTTGTGATTGGCCTATGTTTGCCTCGGCAAAATTGGGGATTTTTTTGCAGAGGAAGGCAAGAACATTATCAATATGCCTCGGCATTTTCTTTGGAAATTGCAGAGTACCAAGGCGAATTACAAAGGCTGGCTCAAAGACTTACTCAACTCATGCCTCAAACTTTACATAGATAGTTAGATAGATAGATATTTTATTATAAAAGCTACTTTGCAGCCACACTGGCTGAATTATGTAGATTTTTACAATAATTTATAACGTTAAATATTAGACATGTTAACAATGAGATAAGTCTACTCAATTATTGCAGTACAGCATGGATGGTACAAAAGTGTTACTAAAGCGGTTATTGTAACTCTTTGGAAGATCATAGAGGCATTTGTGTCTTAAATTATACTTTGCTTGGCGTTTTGGTGACAGCAGTGCATGCAACCTCGTTCCCAGGCTCTTACCTCTTGTGGAGGAAAGATCCTGGTAGGAGCTGGTCACGTGATCTGCTAAAATCTAGCAGATTTTTGACTAATTATCTTGGATTCCTTTAAAATCAAATCAAACTTGCAAAACAAAATGCAAGTTATAAATTAAAGTATGAGACTATAAAATATTTATTAACATCATTATCATCAATTAAAACTCAGCTAGATTTTAGCAGATCACATGACAGCTCCTACCAGGGTCTTTCCTCCACAAGAAGTAAGAGTCTGGAAATGAGGTTGGGAGATTATGGTCACTGTCAGTTGATATTTTACAGAAAAGCTAATTTTCACACAGTCACAGTGTTTGTCTTCGGACAGTTTAGTCTACATTGTTGCAGGCTTTCTGAATGTGAAGCGAAGTGACATTAACAAAGTCATAAATATAATTATGCTAAATTGTCACATTAGGGAAGTAGACTGAAATTTATCCAGGGTTTCCAATAAAATTTAGAGTAGAGGCTTTTTGAAAGAAATATAAGAAAAAACATACTCAGAATAATAATGCCATCTTGTAAACTCAAGATACGAGTTACTTAAAGAAAAACAAGACGCAAATTATGGTCGTGATATTTCGACTCTATTTCAGGGTCATTATCAAACCAAACTAATTAAATATTTACAAACGTGCTCAGATCTTTATAAGGAGAAATATAGGAAAATGACGTACTAATCAATGGGTGATTCTAGCTATGGACTAAATTTTGATCTAGGCAAGAAGAACAAAATCCAACACCGCAGCTAGAAAGAGCATCTTAGAATGAGTAAATCTGCAAAGATTGGTTGCTCAATGTTGTAAAGTGAAGAAAATATAGCCCTGTGAAGTTTGCAAATTTTGTATATATTTGTATTACGCGCGCTAAAAATAACCACTTTCGGCACAAAAATGGTATTTTTCCCGCGCGTAATGCAAATACAGTATATAGTACAAAATTTGCGAACTTCACAGGGCTATTTTTTCCTCATTTTACAACAATTCGCAACCGAAAAACTTTGCAGTTTTACTCATTTTAAGATGTTCTTTCCAGCTATGGTAATGGATTCGTTCTTCTTGTCCAGATCAAAATTCCGTCTACAGCTGGAATCATCCAACGGAACGGAAGAAGAAATACGAGGCGCTATATTTGCAAACACATCAATTACGGAAAAACAATGAGTTTTTTCAATGCCTTTAGACCACTATTAAGTTCCAGCCATGTAGTTTTGCAGATTTTGTCTTTTTATTCAAAGAAGAAGAATATAATACAAAAGGACAGTAACTCCAAATAACATTTTGTAGCTTTAATAAATCTCGTTTAGAAAAAGTAATGTTATAGAAGCAAGAAGCCTTTCCCATGACATTTCTGTGGTAAAGAGGAAATATCTTAGGTTATAATTTTGAGAAATAGCTGGTACGATTTTCTACGCTATGGATGGCGAAAATTGCCGCGGCTTCTTGCTTCTATTGAGAACTCTCTGTGTTTCAGGTCCACTTGAGGAGTCCGCTATTTGGATTGATGAAATACCACCAGATGATATACACACAAGCAGCCATGGTCGCTCAACCACACAGTCATCTGGGTATCAAGATCCCTTGGGAATTATTAAAGAACCTAATAGGTAATACATTGTACAACAGGCCTCGAATTTCCCTGAAATCAATCGACAGCAATGGCGTTAAAAATTGCCGTAGAACGTAACAGCTGTCTGCGGCAATTTTGGCAGTTTCCACGGCATTTTTCAAATTACTGTAATAAAACTTTAATTTTATTGTTACTTTGGATTTTTGACAAGCTATAGAAACATGTCTACGTATTTCTTTCGAAGAAAACTGAGACTAAAATAGTGATTTACGCATGATTTGATCAACATCTGAATTCAAGTATCAAAGTAGTAATGCACAGTGAATAGTATACAAATGGTATACATCACAAAATTAGTAATATTCCAAAGTTTCGTTGCGAAATGTTGTAAAAAGAGGAAAATAGAGCCTTGCGAAATTTGCAATTTTCAGTCATTTTGCATTACAAACGGGAAATTGCAGCCCCAACACCCGAATCGGATGTCAATTTCCCGTTTGTAATACAAAATGACTGAAAAACAGCAAACTTCGCAAGGCTATATTATCCGCATTTTACAACATTTTGCAACAAAACTTTGGAATGTTACTAATTTTGTGATGCTCTTTCAAGCTGTGATGAAATTTTTGTCTAGATCGAAATTTTAGTTATAAGAGGAAAGGTCCATTGCCGCGATAAAATTCGAGCCCTGCTGTACAATTGTCTTGAGCTCTTTACAAGCTTTACGATGAGCTCTTTACGATGAGCTCTTTACGATGTTTTGTTGTAGGAAAAGAAGTGTTGAAGAATACATTGACGATATTTATCCTGAAGGTACTGTACATTGTAATTAAGTGTTCTGATGAAAAGAATGTTAGGTTTTGAAAACAACTGTCAAATTTATAATAATATACGATCATAATTGATCTCAATTTCTGTAAAATATTTGATGTATTGTTGAAGTTTTAAAATATTTTTTAGGGTGTGAAAATACTTTGAGTGTTGATTTTATACCAGCTGCTTTTCTTCTCAGAAAACACTGTGATGTCAGGTACAGTCTTTCATTCTATCATTTTATACCTCTTCGAATGAAAACTGGAATGATTGTGACTCCACGGACATTGTTCGACCCATTTCATGAAATTGGCCGACGTAGAGAGGAAACCACTGGACATTCTGTCCGACCTAAGTAAAACTGAGGTTTATTGTTTGTTCTACCCAAGTGTATTGGTGTCCGACCTACAGTAACTGCAACTTTGTCCAACGTGAATCAAAATGTACCCTAGTCCAGGACTAGAGGCTCGTATGTTAAATGAAGAATCAGAGTAATGTGAACTGAAAATTATTAATCACCGTGGGGTTCGAACTTCGAAGATTCATTGCCAAGATTCAAATGACTTTTCTATACTGTAAATGTGCTGATATTAATTTGACTTGTGTCTGCATTCATACTTACTTCCAAGCCAAACTGAACTAAAAGTCATCGGACATACATCGAACATCACAATACATATGTTCGACTCAAACTCAAAGTCGTCGAATATTTTGTCAGACGGTCTCTGACCGGTCTTTTATGTCCTTCCTTGAAATGTTTAAGGTTTGATCAACTAAAAGATGGTTTAGCATATCTGAAGAAGGAAGAATCGCGACGAGCAACTGGACCACTTGCTTTTGTCAAAGAAAATATTGCAACATTTATGGATGCTGAGGAAACTTTGACTGGTACGTGGCTGGCAGCTAACGGGTGTCCCCCAAGAACTGGACACTGTGTGATTTGATGTCACGTAAAAGCTATAAAAGCTATCGCAATGAAATAAAGAACATTGCATTCAGAAAGGACTAACTTAGATTTTGATATATAGCACTTGAATTTACATGCAATATTGACTGCACTATTGATATTTGAACGTTGAACTACTGTGTTTGAAAATGCCAAAAATTAGCATAAAACAACCTTATAATTACCGATGTAGTTATACTTGTTAAATAATAAATATTTTTATTTTGTCAATGTCAATGTAAAGGCAGCTCTTTCTCCTCGATTATTTTGAAGACCTTGAGTAGAGGTCCGACCAAGGACTGAACCCTGGTCTCCCATCTTGAAAGGCAAGCATGGTGACCAGTGCTGTTATTTGTCTCGGTTTGTAGCGACTCGGACAGGTGACAAATGACCTCAACTCAAAACGTCAAAGGATTTTCTATAGTTTACGCGTGCTTTATGTCAGCTTGTTGTGGAGTACTACCTACGCTTGACCTCCACGTTTGAGATATCTTTTTCAGGTAGTTCAGATATAAATCACCAGCACCCAGTAAACAATAAATTCAAATTAAATTCATTTGAGTAAATGAAATAGTCCTTTACTTGATTCTCTTCGATTTGTGACGGTCAACTTCGCACTGAAGTGATGAAAATTTCAAAATTCATTTTTAGCGGTTCAAAGGGAAATGCTTAAAGATCAAAGTGGCAGCAAGGGTGGCTCACTTGCGGAAGCCTTAGGATCTTATTTACAAGGTACAGCCAGTTTTACAGATTTATCATACGTGTGACACACTTACACACTTATTGGCAAACCAGCCTATATGCTATGATTTTGTATTTAGGTGCCAGTAAGCATGCTGATGCGTTATTTCAAGACGTGTTAAAACGTAAAGACGACGCAGATACGATGAGAAACGCACTCAGTGTTTTACATCGATTTAGATCACTGTTTAGTTTGCCGCAAATTATTGAGAAAAATATTAACCAGGTACAGTAGTTTTAAATCATTTATCAATGGTGGTATATTACAGTATATGAACAGGGTTGAGATGGTGGTAGTGGTTATGGTGATGATGGTGACAATGATGTAGGTGATGGTGATGGTCGTGATGGTTATATGGTGATGGTACTGGTGATGATGGTGACAATGATGGATGTGATGGTTATGATCGTGATGATGATTGTGATGTTTATATGGTGATGGTACTGGTGATGATGGCGGTAGTTGTGCTAGTGGTTATGATGGTGATGATATTGTTGGTGATGTTATTGATGATTGTGATGATCATAGTGGTGATAATGATGGTAGTTGTGATGGTTGGTTATGATGGTATTGTAGATTGTGATGTTGCTGTTTGTTGTGATGTTCATGATAGTGGTAGTGGGTGTTTGTTGATGGTGGTAATGATGGTTGATGATGGTGGTGGTGGTAATGATAATGATGGTGCTGGTGTCTGTGGTACTGCTAATGATGATGATAGTAGTGGCGATTGTTGATAGTGGTGATGATGGTGATGGTAGTGGACCAGTGGTGATTGTTGATGTTGATAGTGGTGATGGTGATGCGTGTGGTGATTATTGATGGTGGTGATGGTGATGGTGATGGTGATGGTGATGGTGATGATAGTGATGCGTGTGGTGATTATTGATGGTGATGGTGGTGAGGGTAGTGGTGATTTGTAGTGATGATGGTAGTGATGGTATTCGTGATGATAGTTTATGATGACAATAATAATGATGTCGAATCTGATTTTCATTCTTACAGGGTGACTATGAAATGGTTGTCAATGATTACTCCAAGGCCAAATCACTAGTTTCAGATAATGCTCCGATTGTTTTTAAAAAAGGTACGACGTTACATTCTTTTTTTTCTCCGAATTTCAAATTAACCAAAGTCTTCTTGTCTTTCATATTTTAGTTTTGGAAGAAGTCGAAAGCAAAGTGGAGAAGTTTCGAAATCAACTACGAAGTCGTTTGTCCATTTTACCCATACCTTTGAAAGACATGAGAAGATACATCAAGTATGGCTTTCATTTTTGTACATGTTTTTCTCAATTACTGCATTTTAAAAACACAGTAATAGCGCATAGACACTTGTATTCTGTATGGAAAAATTCAGTCAAAGAAGAGATACTGTAGAACATCCAGTAATTCATGAAATCTGCTGTGTCGGTGTAACCTGACCGCGTAGCTCAG